AGGAAATAATTAGAAAACATTTGATAATGTAGTAATAGAAGAACAAAATGTATAAAATAGTAAAAGACGACACTACTGCCCCCCCCCCCCCCCAACTGGGTATGATAAACTTTTACAGAATATAGCTTTAAGTGTCAATAATGTAAAGTACTAAATCAACTCTATTCTATTTAATATTGAATTTTGACAATTTCTTTGAATAATTGAGTAACCAATGACAGAAAAAGCAGAATCGCATATAAAGAGATTAATCTGAAAGGTAAAATTATTCTGTATAGGCATATGAATATTTACATATTTAATTGCCCATGTGAACACTATGAAAAATGAATGCAAATTTTGTGATTTCACTCAGCTAACCTATACGTTTTAATGAAAGTGATGATGTCTGAAAAGTAGCCTACAACTAATTCATGGGAACACTAAATATGAATCCTATTAATTACAATAATTATTCAAATAATAACACTAGTAACATGATGTCTTCTGTCTGTGCCCATTCTGTGGGGTCATACATCAAGGGTCTAATTTTATCTTTTTACTTAAAATAAAAACTAGAATTTTTACTGTACAAATCTTATAGATACATGTTATATTCAACATAATACAATGTCATAATCCCTATTTTCCAGAGACACAAAATTAGATCAATTAAACTCCATTTTGACAGACTAATCTCACAAATGTTGATATTAAAATGAAATGACAAAAATAAAAAGCGATAAGTGCCATCTATGGGACCTTCAATCGGTTATATTGTTATAATAGATATATAAACATATTCAATTGCATGGATCAAATATCATACATATGGATTCCTGCATTTTTGTACATCTCCAACACTAAATCCCTTATGAAACCCTTAAAGTTTTATAGATATTGTTGGGGTTTTATTTACCACGTCGCACGTCCTAATTCCAGCTTCAGTATCTCACTTGTTGCCGCTGTTTAAAGAGAATAATGACTCATTTAAAATATCAAGTAACGTTAAACACTTACTCAAAGTAACCCGAACTCTGCCACAGTGTTGACAACTAAGTGCCCTTAAATCCAAGTCAAGTGTGTTAGCTAAGAAAGCACCATAATAGCCAGTCCACAGCCGTGTTCATCTGCCTGACAGAAATAAAAAGAGCAAATAAAAACATGGCTCTATCAGCGCGGTTTGACAAGCACACCCACCCAAGATAGCTCAAAGAGAAAACCAAAACAATCACAAACCTTGCATCACCCGCTTTGAAGGCTAAAGTCCCTGAATGTGCCCGGGATTCGGGTAAAACATGATACGAAAATGTGACCAATCAGCGCTGTGTGACAGGTGAGTCAGCCAATCAGTGGAAGATGCGCATGGACGAAAACCAATCATATCGAGACTCATTGCTCAAGCGGACACCGAAGGGGTGGGGGAGGGTTCACACTCGCATGCTCGTGCAGGAAAGAGAAATGTGAGCGCGATGTGGGGTGAAAGTGAGAGTGGAGGAGGTGAAGGGTGAGGAAGGAACTACTTTTGTTTTCTTTTTTTCAATAAAATAGTGGGTCTAACTGAATAGACGATTACTGAGACAATAAACAATGCACGACCCACAACTTTTCCTACCATTAGTTAAAATAGCAACATTTCCATTTTGAAATAATTAAGTGTAAAGAGGTAGCCTACACTTAAAGGTACAATATGTAAGATTTTTGGGTACTTTCCTCTTATCCGGACCCCACCATATACCATTTAGGAGCTATCATCCCTGATTGGTCTTAGTCAGTTTTAAATAATGGCTCAACCCATTTCAGTTACGTAAAATCTGCGCTATCATCGGTTTCCGCTTGTAGAAACCATATACATAGAAATGTCATTAGTGGCCGTTTCAATGGGCCGCTGCGTAAAGAATTATGGTTCACGATTATTCTTTGCTAGTACAGAAAATAAAAACTTAAACGTAGATCAACTGAGGCAAGCAGGTTTGGGACAAAAACAGAGAAATAAAACAAATATCGGCGTGGGGTTTTCGAGATTGGAGAGAGCTTCGTAAAAAACTTGGACTTGATCTGTCCACAGAGACTCCATTCTCGCATGGAGTGTTTTAATTGAAAGGTTAGCGAATCTTTATATTATTTATTGTACACATACTTCAGTAATGCTTTTTATCAAGTCTGGTAACCAAGTCTATGGCAGTACAATTAAATACAGCCAATATGTTGCACAAAAATATTTAGCCATTGCTTGCAAATGCAGTGGGTTTGTTCAAATGTTGCTACTTTTAGTGTGATTGTTTTAAACGTTTAAAACTGCGCAGCATTAAACCACCAAATAATTTGACAAATAGTCACATATCAGTAACAGGCTAAGGCATTACATTTCACGTTCCTTGCAGATAATTCATTACGATGACTTGATATAGTGTGATTCAGATATACAAAAATGAATTTATTAGCTGATTATATATATATATATATATATATATATATATATATATAATCTATATGATTTGTGAATTTCCATACATCTCTGCATGGTGAAAACGACATCTCCCATCGTTCCACTGTCTTTCATAAAGTCATCAAGCTTCGTCTTTGTTATTGTTTTGAAAATGCGACCTCTGGTGGCGAATAAAAAATTAAAGGTTGTACCCTCAAGAGAAAATGTAATATACGGCTTAAATAGATGTACCCAGAGATATCCATAATAAAGGCTAAATGTCTTATGGCGGAGTCTCTATCATCATCACCGGCGGCCATCTTGTCACAGGCAAGCTTTCTGGCGAGCACCTGATGTATGATGAGTGATCAGCACCAATACAAAGACTCTTTTTCTCATTAAAATCTTGACGTTTGGTTTCTTATGAACATTATTAACGTGGCTAATTCTGATTATTTACTTATACACGTATTATTCATAATGATGCAGTGTTCATAACTACATCTCTGACGTTAACAACAAACTAAACCGTTAAAAAGCGAGCTGCCTGTGACAAGATGGCCACAAGGTGCGGACGTCGACCTCCATTGGCCAGCAGCACGGATGAGACATCTAGCCTTTATTATGGATATCTATGGATGTGCTCCCTTAAACTCAGCTGTTCTCAGACCATAACTCCATACTTCATATATAATAAAGTATTTAAGACCTATAGTTCTCCATGCTTATATTTTCTATGGCAGAAAACGTTTTAATTCCTTATGTGACAAGTTTTGTCCTCGGTTTTATTCAGGTCGACATGAAATGGAAATTTTCAATAGTGTTTTCATTGTGAGGTAAATCCTAGTGAAACGGCCTCTTAAAGGGTTAGTTCACCCAAAAATGAAAATTCTGTCAGTATTTACTCACCCTCATGTTGTTCCAACCCCGTAAGACCTTCGTTCATCTTCGGAACACAAATTAAGATATTTAAGATATTAAGATCGCTCTTGCATACAGTCCATAGGCTTCTTGAGGGACTGGCTCTTGCCGTCCCCGAAAAGTCATAAAAGACATCGTTAAAATAGTCCAAGTGACTACAGGGGCTCAATCTTAAGTTTATCAAACGACGAGAACACTTTTGTGCGCAAAAAACAACAAAAATAACGACTTTATTTCAACTATTCACTTCCTTCTCCATAAGCCTGTAGTCCGTTAACGTAGTGTGATTGCGTAGAGCTACGTCACACGTAGGCTCACTATTGGCCGACGCTGGTCATGTGTGTGTGATGCGTGTGACGTACAATAACAGAAGCTTACGCTATTAAACTAGTAACCTGACTCGCGCAGAGGGAGAAACGAATAGTTGAAATAAAGTCGTTATTTTTGTTGTTTTTTTGCGCACAAAAGTGTTCTCGTCGTTTGATAAACTTAAGATTGAGCCCCTGTAGTCACTTGGACTATTTTAACGATGTCTTCAATTACTTTTCGGGGACAGCAAGAGCCAGTCCCTCAAGAAGCCTATGGACTGTATGCAGGAGCGATTTTAATATCCTAAATATCTTAATTTGTGTTCCGAAGATGAACGAAGGTCTTACGGGGTTGGAACAACATGAGGGTGAGTAAATACTGACAGAATTTTCATTTTTGGGTGAACTAACCCTTTAAACAAGAAAAAACGGCAAGACTTGCTTTTGTCCATGGGGAATTGATTGGATTGTTGTGGTTTGCTTTTGTAAGATGTCATGTGAGTTACAGGTTGTTGTCCCGTCCTCATGGCAGTAAACACAGTTACAAGAGGGATGAAATGAACGTTATTTTTTTAATGAGGGTACACAAATTAAAAAATAAAATAAAATAAAATGTGCATGGATAAATCATTTATAATAAATACTAGTCAATTTTGATTTTATGATGATTTTATCAATGAGGTGCTTGATGTTTGTTCTCACACCAATATTTAAAGCTGTATTCCATAACCTTTTTGGGTTAAAAATTCTCAAAACAAACAAACAAACAAACAAACAAAAAAACGTTTTTATCATACAGCTGGTCATATTTCCAAAAAGTAAAATCTGTGATTCTGAATGACATCCACAACGGCGCAGTGACTCAGCCGCACATTCTCCTCAAAACATTGGATTCACCCGCACTGTGCCATGCCGAGGCATAACCGACGTAAAGTTGATAATTCCACGAATGACTGCAATTGCAGATTTCAAACAGAGATGGCAACAAAGAGGAAAAACTGCAGATTGCAGCTTTAAAACATTCAAATATATTTTTATTTGAATATTAATTGCTAAAGAGGACACTAGACTAAAAGCCTCATAAAGACTGGACTGGAAGGGCATGTCTCGATAGCTTTCCATTTAAAAAACACCCATTGATGTCACTGCCGCAAGCGCAGCTGTCAAACACGTCCGTCTAGCTCGTGTTTACAGAGTAAAATAACGGAAAAGTAGCATATTGGAATGGGAAAACCGCGTTCTGTGTGAACGGCCCCTTATAACGATTGGATTATTCGATTATATCATTGTTTGGATGAAATACTAACCCTTGAGGACACATCTATGCACCGCTACACTAGGAGGCAGTAATGTCCAGTCTAGCTTCATTGCCGCCGTTAAGACCAACGCCGAGAAGAAGACGAACAAATGCTCCACAGTTTCCCCAAAGCAAGATGGCGGTGCAGGAGACAGCAGCTCAACTCTCTATGGCCCTAAAGGTGCAAGAATATCCAACTTTAAAGGTATGTCAAGCCTTTCCTCTTAATACTCTAATCGTGCAACTGAACAGATTCTCTTTAGCGCTATATGACCTTCAAAATTGATCATCAAAACGGAAATGATCGATCAGATGAAAGTATGTGGCTGCATTTAGACAGTTAACTGGTTAGCTCTCGGGCTAGGCAACTTAGCAAAATAAGTGTCACACAAACACATCTCACCGGAGTGATTGCAAACAGTCGAGCTGTGACATCGGCTGTGTTCAGTTACAACCCGATGGATCTATAAAGGAGAGCAATAAGTCGAATTATGTCATCGCTGATCCGTGACACTTTTGCGTTCCGACAGTATTGTGTTATTAGACAGGCGCTGTAACGTTATTATCCCATCACAGGTTTGTCCACTAGTGCAACCAATGCAGATTGACGAGAACCATTCGCGAGGTGGATAGTGACACGACTCTGTTGTTTAACGTGAGCTATTTTATAATCGAGTAACGTTAACGTACTGATGAGATAATTTAGTTTTGAACGCTGCCGTCTAAAAATATGATCTAGACACTGCATGATAGTCGTGTCTCTGGATAACGTTAAATGCTGGAGGAATAGACACATGCCAATGGTGAACAGAGCTCGGTATGCAAACGAGTTATGCACCATATTGGGATCATATTGCATCGTGTTGCGTTGATCAGTTGCAGATCTTAACAGGTTATAGCTCATGTATAGTTGATTCTCGATGAGGTGCTTATTATTTAATAGTTGGCATACAGCACCTTTGTTCTCTGCGTCACAGGGTTTTCCCGATTTATAGCGTCGATTTGTCTGAATCCTTGCGTTAATCGATTCCTTTTATTGTTTAATGGTAACGTGATTTAGTTGGTTGATCTCCTGTAAAATGACGCCTGTTTATGTACATGCACACTGAATGTCAATAATATATTATGGTCTTCACTGCTGTGTCAAGGGCATATTGCATCTGAGCTTGTCTTGCAGCATTGAGAATGATTTCCAGTACCTTCTTAATCATTGCATCATGATCTAACCATGTAAACTAGTCACTGTTTTTTTTTTGTGTGTGCAAAATCTAAAGACACATTGGTTGAAGAATGAATGAACTAGCTATTTTTGTAAGGCACTGATACCTCAGAGATCATTAAAATGAACACATATTTAAACAAGCAAATTATGTAACAGAATAGAGCTCTAGATGGATACATGTATCTTTTTTGACAGTAATGTAAGGTTTTAATTATGAGATTAAGTTATAGGCATAATTGAACAGTAGTTTATCTTATATTGTTTGATAAAGAAATAAATATCTTAAAATTGTTGATTGACATGAGACGATTAATGTATCATTCAAGCGAAACTTGAAGGGGTGGTTTGGAATTTTGGATATCGGGCCTCATTTCCAAGTGAGCCTTAGTGTTATTTATCAGTGGAGAGCTGGAGACAGTTAAAAAAAAAATTAATTAGTCGTCCCAGTTGCATAGTTCGCCGGTGCTAGGAGAGCGCGAGTCAACGGTAACTTTTAAAATGCCATTTAAAACAGTTTTACCCACTCCACAGTACACCAAAAGCAAATCAATTATAACGCCAGACTATTGATGTAAGTGTCTGTTGAGATAATAATGTTAGAAATCAAACTACTCTTTCATCGCATTGCAATAGTTATATTGTTTTTTTACCTATATTAGCACGGTCTACAGCGGCGGAGTGATATGAAGTTACCTAGGCATATTAGGCAACCGAGAGAGCCGGTCCACACGACAATCACACAAGTTTATTATTTACCTGCCGCTGACACTCATCACTACAGAAACAGAGTGTAATTTGTGATATGTAATACAAGGACTGGTACAGTGCACATCTCCTTTATTTCCTTTGTAGATAACAACAACAATAACATATATATATATATATATATATTAGGGTTGGGCAACGATTAATCACGATTAATCACATCCAAAATAAACATTTGTGTTTACATAATATGTGTAGGTAGTGTGTACTGTGTATAATTATTTTGCATATATAGATACACACACATGTATATATTTGAGAAATATTTGCATGAATATACTGTATATATATTTATAAATATATACATGCACCTGTGTGAATTTGTATATACAAAATAATTATACAAAGTACACACACATCTATTATGTAAACACAAACTTTTATTTTGGATTGGTTGCCCAACCCTAATATAAATATAATCTGTATTGCTATACACAACATAAAAACAAATAAACAACTTTAGTGGATTGTAAAGACAATACGACTACTATGTTTGACATACTGTTTGACCAATTCAAAAAATAGCTATACTCTTAGTTACACTATTATTGTCACTCTACACAATGCATTGAACGTTACATATTCTCCACTAACGTTGTCAGTGTCGATCTATCAGTTATGAAAGTGCTAGCTAGAGTAGCCTAAATATATTAACTGTACATCTGTTGGTGCATCTGGTAAGACAGCTGGAACTGCATTCCTTGTCATAAACTTGTGATCGATTCGACTAAATGGTTATTTAAAGTCGTCTGGTCTACTCTAAAATGGTCACTGCAAATCCTAAGTTTTTTTAGAGTCTCTGCCGGTGTCTCCTTGTCCAAGCCCGCAGAAATAATCCAAAGTTGAATCCTTTCTGGATCTTCAAAAGGAAATTTGTGAAAACTTTGCAATTCTCTCAACAGACATTTACATCTTACATTGATGGTCTGTCGTTATAATTGATTTGCTTTTGGTGTACTGTGGAGTGGGTAAAACTGTTTTTAATGGCATGCTAAAAGTTACCAATAAATAACACTAAGGCTCACTTGGAAATGAGGCCCGATGTCCAAAATTCTGGACCACCCCTTTAAACTAAATCCAGCGTCAGTCATGTAGCCTCCCTCTCTCATTTGGCACAAATCCAACTGTTTTTATATTCGCAAAGTATTTGAATGCTAAACTATTATTTATTATCTAAGTAGCTTTCTACTTCACTTTTGTTTGTGGCAGTTGTAATATAAGGTTTTAAAGTCCCCATGAAATCAAAATGGAAGGTTTTTTGGCTTTTAGTATAAACATGCTAGTCTGTTATCTATAAGTTAGTGCGTCTCCAAAACAATGACACAATTCACTTAAGATATAGGCCTCAACCATTCAAAATGTAGTCTCTCACTTCCCCCAATAGAGTGCCGAAGTTATAACGTCACTTTGTGGGACAACTTTTGTGCGAAATTGGACAATTTCGCACAAAATAAAATCTGTGTTTAACAAAGAGTTGTGACGCTTACGTTTTGTCTATCAAGATAATCTTTACAAGTTAATCCAAAATTTATACATTTTGAAGCCAATCAAAGTTTTTAAAAACACAAGCAGACACAATAAAGTTTAAAAAACCACAAGCAGGTTATAACTGGTGTGTTTTTATGTCATAGAACAAAACGTGAAAATATTTAGAGGCTCTGTTCACCACAGACCTTATTTCAGGCGATTTAGCAAAAACCCATTCAAAAATCCCATAGACTTTAGAGCGGGGGAACCGGAAGTGTTGCTAACTCGCTAATGCTAAAATGCTAACTCACTTCCGCGTTTTGACCTACAAAGTGACGTCGTAACTTCGGCACTCAATACGAAAAAATGATTTTGATGACATCACTCTGCACTTCAGCTTTAGCTTTTCATCAGATTTTCTGTCCAATCAAATACTCTCTAGATTGCACTATATAGGCATTTCAATGCACTTCAGTGGACCTTTACTTATGGGTTTAAGTTATAGGCATGCATGATTAATAATGAAATGAATCCATATCTTAAAATTGTTTATTGAAAAGAAATAGCCTATTTGATTCTGTGTAATTTAGTTTTTGTGGACCTAGTTGTGTGCTGATTTGCTTTTTTTCAGTAGTTTGCATGAATTCTGGCTTGCATTGAGGACCTTTCACTTCTCACTGCCTAAAATTAGGTTGCGCATTGTAATCCAACAAAGGTTATAGCTTCAATAATAGCATTGACTGATGTAGGGAGTTTTTCTACTCTAAATCATATGTGAATAGAGCACTGCAAATGTTGATACTGCTTATCTGCCCCGGTTTTAAGGTGACAGATGGCCTGATCAAAATAAACTGGCGGATCCTTCGAGATAAGGTTGAAATTTTATGCATCTCTGCCTCCTCCAGAGCTGTTCATTCTGGCCCAATGATCATGTCCATCTTTATGACCTTTCTCTCGAATAGACCTACTTCCTACTTATTTATCTAATGCTGAATCTTACGATTCAAGAATATTTGCTTACTAAGGACCCACTGGACATTTCAATGCTTAAATCACAGGATATAAATGATGACTAGAATGTAGTTTATCAGGTGAACTAAACCTTTAGTGATTTGAGAGAGAGAGTTTTACCAAGCAAGTAACATACAAAGATGTTGTTGTAGCTAGCTGAAATTGTGCCTACTTATGAAATTCTGTTGTTTATTTACCTCAACAGGTTCCTTATGAAACCTTGAACAAGCGCTTCCGAGCAGCTCAAAAGAACATAGACCGGGAGACCAGTCACGTGACGATGGTGGTGGCAGAGCTGGAGAAAACACTCAGTAACTTTCCAGTGGTGGATACCGTAGTCTCTCTCCTGGATGGGGTGGTTGAGAAGCTCAGCGCCCTCAAGAGAAAGGTATACTAACTAATGCATCATGTTGAGTTAGTTCAGTTTTACTGCATTTGTTCCGTTCACACTATAAAGAGTGAAAGGGTTTCTTATCTGATAGGCGGCTGAGTCTATCCAAGCAGAAGACGAGAGCGCTAAGTTATGCAAGCGACGCATAGAGCACCTGAAGGAACATAGCAGCGACCAGCCGGCCAGCGCCAACGTTTGGAAGAAGAAGCGCATGGACCGCATGATGGTGGAACACTTACTACGATGTGGCTATTACAACACTGCAGTCAAGCTAGCAAGACAAAGTGGGATTGAGGTGCATCTCCACTGTTCCCGTTAGGGGTGTAACGGTACATGTATTCGTATTGAACCGTTTCGGTTCGAGGCTTCCGGTTCGGTACGCATACAAACCGAACGATTGCTTGGACCATTTTTCTTGCCGGCAAAATTCGTGCTGACGCGGCCAACACAACGTTGTGCAACATCCAAATGGCAAGGGTAATGAAAACAGAACGAAACTGCGCTCCTCGTTATGTGCTTCACGGATCGTTTATCAGTTCGGACCAGCAACATCTGTGCAGCGCGAGCCGATCTCGATCAAGCAACACTGTTACCACACCGCGCAAAGAGATCCGGTAAAGAAAACATTTCAATTCGCCACTGAAGTAATAACGTCGCTGCGAGATCTAGTGAGATGCATTCACATTTCTCCGTTATTAACCGTAGATCTCTATTAGATCAAACAGCGCTGTCATGGAAACCAGGAGAAACATTGTGCCGTGAATGAACTAGCACTTTACGTCCACAGACCAGCAACATTCACCATGGATTTAATATAGTAACACTAACTGGAACCAGTTTGGCTGGAATGGTGAAATGCTTTCAAGTACTTCACACATCTTTTTCCAGCACTTCAAAATTCAAATATTATATAAATAAATATATATTTAAATGTTATTTTTAATGTGATGACCAAAACATTATTTGTTCATCATTCAAAGATGACCCCTATTTATAAACCTGAAAGATTCAAGATCTAGGAAAACTCACACTTATTTAAAAATATTTTTTTCTTTAAACAAATAGGACATTTCTCTGGCATTTCTTTCTTTTTGCTGTATCGAAAACGTACCGAACCGTGACTTTAAAACCGAGGTACGTACCGAACCGTGATTTTTGTGTACCGTTACACCCCTAGTTCCCGTGCATCGTGTAATGCTGTGTTCACACCGGATGCGAATAGCGCGTCGAATTCGCGCCTGACGCGTCTAGTTTGACGCTTGACCACTTTGTGTCAATTTGTGTGTCAAGAGTGAAACTGGCGCGCGTAAAAACAAAAGTTTGAAGCGAAATTTACGCGCGTCAGAATCGAAATCCGTTGGCAGCCATTGTTTTAATGTCGACCGACCATTCATCGCTCTGTATTTACTCTGGAGAGCAGAACAGCGGCGTTGGGATCATCGTCGCCGTATATTTGTGTCCTCCGGACCCTTCTGAGGCGAACCGTTTGGCGAGTTTCACCATTTGCTCGCTCCAGGAGCTGCGTTGGATGACGGCCGCTATCAACGGTACTTCCGCCTGTCCCGCGCCCAGTTTGATGACCTGTTGTACCACATCAAAGCGAGGATCACCCTCGCCCTCATCCACCTAATCTAGCTGTCATTTATTTTTGTTTTGATGATAAAAAGAGCCAGCTTCCAAAATTTATTAACCTGTCCTGTCCTGTGATTTATTTATTTTTTATTTTTTTTTCTCTCTCTCACGTCCAGACACGAACTTATGCACATATGTTGATTGTCTTTACATCATAATACTATTTCATATAATCTAAATATGGAATGAATAACATTCAATACAAAATGAACATGTTTCGTATATAGAAATAATGTTTTAAGTGATAAAATATTTGCTTTGATGTGCATAACAGAATCCCACCATGCATTTAGTCATATTACAAATTAATTTATTGAAGCATCCAGATTCTTTACCACATGAGCAAGCAGCTAGGCTCCTGATTGGTTAATGCGGCGCGAATTCACGCCAAAGTTCAGATTTTTCAACTCGGGCGGCAGACGCGTGAATGCACAAATGGCACTAACTAAATCATTCGCGCTTAACGTGCCAGACGCTCAATTCGCGCGAACGAGGCGTATTCGTGCTTCCACGCCTCATTCGCGCCGCAGGAATTTTTTACGCACGTAACGCGTCTTTGCATTGACTTAACATTGAAATCATTCGCGCCTGACGCGCTATTCGCGTCCGGTGTGAACGCACCATAAGAGTTTTGAGCTGGTTCTCATATTGGCTGTGTTTTGTCTTTGTAGGATTTGGTGAACATAGAAATGTTTCTTACTGCAAAAGAGGTTGAAGAGTCTCTTGAACGTCAGGAAACGGCTACCTGCCTGGCTTGGTGCCACGACAACAAGTCTCGCTTACGGAAAATGAAGGTAAGACGCTGAGTTTGTTTCTGTATTCAAACATCTTCTTGCGTTTTGAGCCACAGTGTGTTTTGTGGTTGTATTCCTTGCAGTCTCAAGTTTTCATTTCAGAGATGTTTTGACACGTTGCCTGAAGGCAATGGAATTTGAAAGGTAAAGTTTATTCCGTTTTATTGAAATATGTTCTCGTTCCCAGAGCTGTTTGGAGTTCAGTTTAAGGATCCAGGAATTTATTGAACTCATTCGACAAAACAAACGAATGGATGCAGTAAGGTATGAGACAAATCCTTGGACTTCATGGCTACACTGCCATTTTAACTGAATAACTGTCATTTATTGTTAAACATGAATATAGATTATAAGCATTCTCATTTTAGACATGCACGCAAACACTTCAGCCAAGCAGAAGGAGGGCAGTTGGATGAGGTACGGCAAGTGATGGGCATGCTGGCGTTTCCCTCAGATACGCACATCTCACCGTATAAGGTAAATGATATTTCTGCACCTATATTATCTGGAACTGTTCTGATGGTTCATTTGAAGTTCAATGGTCTGCAGCAGGTTTTTTTTTTCTTTCCTCCCAGGATCTTTTGGATCCGGCTCGCTGGAAAATGCTGATCCAGCAATTCAGATATGACAACTACAGATTACACCAGCTGGGGAACAACTCTGTGTTTACCATTACCCTGCAGGCAGGGCTGTCCGCCATCAAAACCCCGTATCCTCTCTGCAGTAACGTTCATCATCCTTAGGGTTTCCAGCAGGTCATTTATTCAACTGATTCTGAGTAAAAAAAGTCGATTTTAACAGTATTTTTGGCTATGACAAGAGAAAGGTCATTGTTTTTAAGTGACTGAAAATGGTACTCTGTTGGTTTATTAGTCCAACTGAATAGTTGTTGACCTTAATTCCAAGTTTACAGGCAGTGTTATAAAGAGGATGGCACTTCCAAAAACCCAGACTGCCCTGTCTGCAGTAAGTCGCTGAACAAATTGGCTCAACCTCTTCCCATGGCGCACTGTGCAAACTCAAGGCTGGTGTGCAAAATCTCTGGCGAAGTCATGAATGAGAACAACCCACCCATGATGCTGCCTAATGGCTATGTTTATGGATACAATGTGAGTTTTGAAGCTAGTTTTGTGTCATTTTCATATTCAATGTTTTTATATGCTGTAATTGTTCAATGCCAGGGCTGCACAATGACTCCAAATTAAACCGTTATATTTAAAACGCGATTATCACATTTCAAAGGCAACTTTGAACCGCGTGTTTCAGAGTAAAGCGCGGCACTGCGTTCTTCCGCCGGTGGTTCCAGCATCTCAGGCCGGATTGGTTCACAGTAAACGCTGCTCCGCACGAAATTCGTCTCTGCATCTGCTCTGAGTTTGGATTACTTAAAATATTTAAGCATTGACATTTATGCATTTGCAGACTGATCTCATGAAATTGCGTATATGTATGACACGCCAATTCGTATTTCCAGTTTTGGCGTGCTATCAACACGCATAATCGCTTTTCAGCGTGTTTATGAACGCCGTTGACTTAACGTTATTACTGTATATATAAATATATGACCTACCCCAACCCCGTCCCTAAACCTACCCGTCACTGGGGTTAAAAACATTTATGAGTCTTCCCCTACCATCCTAGGAAAAAAATATCGCTCCCATATGTAGATCTACTTTTTGCTTCGTTTCACTCAGACATTTAACGGCGTGTACATTACACGCGGGATCACTCGGACATTTAACGCCATAGGCATACACGCACACACATAGCTCAAAATGTGTATAACATGCCACTTTCAAGTCAAGTTTACGCAAAAGTCATGATGTCATGTTGGCATTTGGGAATATAACCAGGCTTTGGATGGTTACTTATGGTTAAAAATGTTTTCCGTTAGTTACAAATTACTTCATAAAAAAGTATTCAGAATCGTAATCTAAGTACCACAATAGGAAAGCAATGTAACTGATTACTTTTGGATTACTTCAAGGACAGATATTATTTAAAAAAAAAAAAAAACATCAACTAACTTTTATTTATTAATTTCACAGCCCTGAATATATATTTATTTAAAGGGCTATACAGACATCTATTGGCTACAGTGTGGTATTACAGATTTTTTTGTTTTATTTTGAAATAACTAGGCAACAAGGAAATAATAATAAAAAAAACATTTAAAAATTCTACACAATCTACATATTAGTTTATTTTAAAATAGGCCTACATGTTGACTAAAGCTGTGATCTTTCTTAATTTGCCTGACTGAACTTGGGCTGTTGGCAGTGGGAGTTCATCTCCTTAAGTGAGACAGAGAAGAGATTATGAAAGAACATTTTAGGTACTAAAAAAAACGATTCCTAATTTCTTCAGATTTCAGCATCGCTAGAAAACTTACAACTGCAATCATACAAACCACTGAATTTTTAAGCAGTAATACACACTACATACTAACAAGGCACAGTTTGCACTGTAAACCCATGTTGTTGTCATTTTTCTCTTTAAAAACATAATAGCAGCGGAATTTAAGAAATTAAAGCATTTTTACCTGTGGGCAGCATTATTTCTAGCAGCAACGAGCATACGCACAACCGGCACATCCGGGAACTTAACTATCAATTTTGTCCCCGCCCCCTTTTGGGGGAAACAAACTAGACTCCCTATAGACTTCAATACAAAATAACGGCAAAAACCAACGTCCGTACACAGCCGACAGGCGTAAATAACTTAAGAAATCACTTATATAAAACATGTCAAGTAATTATAAGTCCACCCTGCCTGCCATAGAGCCTGAAAGATACATTTTTTATGCCCGTAATCAACAAGCCCAGGCTACCTGCCATCATCATCATAAATTCATAATATATACATTAAGTTTTTTTTTACTTTAAAAAACGAAATAAAATCATTCAGGGGCTTACCTGGTGACTCGATAAGGTACAATAAAATGTCCGGGTAAGACACCTCTGGCCACTGGGTGGGGTTGTTACACCAATTTGATGCTGGGAGAATAAAGGGACATGTTTTTAAATTGGCCAAATTAAGTTTGTGTGTATGTATCTTTCACGCTCTGTGGCAGGCAGGGTGGACATATAATTACTTGACATGTTTTATATAAGTGATTACTTAAGTTATTTACGCCTGTCGGCTGTGTACAGACGTTGGTTTTTGCTGTTATTTTGTATTGAAGTCTATGGGGAGTCTAGTTTGTTTTCTCCCAAAAGTGGGCGTGAACCTATTCAGAGACATTCTATGACGCAGCGCCGGTTGTGCGTATCTGTGTCTGAGGAAATTGTTGTCGAGAGCTGTTATTTTGCTAAGACCATAAATATTAGTTTAGTAGTTTTGCTATTGTATTGTTAAAAAAACATATATATAACATATATATAATTACTTATAATATATATAATTATATATATATATAAAATATATATATAATTGTGCACCCCTACAAACAAGCACCTGGATATATATATATATATATATTTATTTATTTTTTTCACAATTTGATTTTATTTCCCCAAATTGTGCAGCCCAATATTATGCTGTTAGCAATGCTGTGTATTATATAGTGATTTAACATTTCCTTGCCTCTGGTTTTCAGTCTCTCTTGTCCATTCGTCAAGATGACAAGGTGGTATGCCCCAGGACCAAAGAGGTGTTCAACTTTTCCCAGGCCGAGAAGGTTTATATTATGTGATGCGAGCGCCACTAAACCTCTGGAACGTTACTTCTCGGAGCCATCGTAGGCTGGGTGAATCTCATGTTGACGTCATTTGTCCAAGGGTGTCAATCCTGTGGCCCTTATTCCATGCAATGAAATTCATTGACAATATGCCCTTGTCCTCAACCGGCCTACAAGACCTTTTCTGAACTGATTGTTCCGAATCACAATGGAGTTGTTCTGCGAGAAACAGACTTGTGTGATGAGGGATTTTTTTTTGTGTATGGTGTTTTTAAACTGGTTCATAGTCTGGCATTTATTTAACTTTTCAATAGCATAAAACAAACCGACACAACTCCATTTCAATTTATCTCAAAGGAGCTTCTGCCTTGTAGTGTGTTAACAAAATGAATAATTCATTTGTTTTTTGAACAAGGGCACCCATTTAGGTCATTATTTTTAGATAGATTGTGAATAGGTAGTTGTAGGGAACACTCTGATGCCTTGCTTTTGCACCTGTGAAATCTGTGACATGCATTTATGTTAATATTATATTTTGACTGATATCCTCAGTTAATGAGGTAACGTTAAAAAAGCTGTAGCATTTATAGCAATACTGCTCTGCTCTGATGTACAGACTAAAAAAACACAACAGTGTTCTTTGGTGTCAGGCTTTTGTTAAAGAATCACATTAGTTTATACAGTACATACTGTATGGACGTATCTATCATTCATCAAATAAATCTGCAAGATTGAATTCTTATGGAAATGCTTACATTTGGAGGAGTGTTTTTGGTTTTTATTATTAACTAATGTTAAAGGAGTTGTTCACTTTTAAAAAAACTTTTGCTGATAATTTACTCACCCCCATGTCATCCAAGATATCCATGTCATTCTTTCTTCAGTTGAAAAGAAATTAAGGTTTTGATGAAAACATTCCAGGATTTTCTCCATATAATGGACTTCAATGGGAACCAAACGGTTCAAGGTCCAAAAGACAGTTTCAGTGCAAACTGTTCAAAGGGCTTTAAACGATTCCAGACGATGAATAAGGGTTTTATCAAGCGAAACGATCACTCATTATCATTTAATAAATAAATAACAAAGTTTAAGTTTTACAAGCTCAAATTCGTGACTCTCCTGTTTGAAATCGTTCATCAAAATGAACAAATCTTTTTCCGAGTTAATTCGTTCATTTCGTTCTTTGAATGAACCAATTTTCGTTCATTTTGATCAAGTTCGAATTGGAGAGTCACGAACGTGCATCACAGAACAGAGCAAGGCGAGCATTTGTGCTTATAAAACTTAAACTTTTGTATTTATTTTTTAAATGAGCGATCGTTTCGCTCGATAAGACCCTTATTCATCATCTGGTGTCGTTTAAAGCCCTTTGAAGCTGCACTGAAACTGTCTTTTGGACCTTGAACCGTTTGGTTCCCAGTAAAGTGCATTATATGGAGAAAATCCTGGAATGTTTTCATCAAAAATCTTAATTTCTTTTCGACTGAAGAAAGAATGACATGGAGGTGAGGGGTGAGTAAATTATAAGCAAAAGTTTGTTTTTTTTAAAGTGAACTTCTCCTTTAACTTCATGCTGAATTTAGTGCCGATTTTTGAACTAAAGGATTTTTTTTTTTCAGGGTAGATCCAAATCTTGCACAGTTTATTACATAGACAGAAGTTGTTGGGGCCATCCTTGAATAATACCCTCATTTTGTGATGTGAAGTTCTTATGTGAGGTTTCTTCTGCTGCGAAACTAATTAATATGGATCTTTTCAAATATGTAGGCTAGTTTTACATTTGTCTTAGATTAGAATTTCCAAATTCATTGTAATGTATGTATATACAGTCTTTTTGAGCACAATTTGCAAAGCAGGATATTGGTAAATGAAGGTTTTGATGATGTTCCCCATGCACGCAACCCCAGAAAGTCTCAGGTTTCACAGGATCAACAGCAGGTAACCAATGGAGGGGGGCTGTCAATGAAAGGCCCTCTGATGTTAGTTTCACTTTAATGTGCACCAACATCCCTTCCTGTTGGAAATAACTCTCCAAGTATGTGTTTAACTGTAATTGTGGAAAGACTTGTTTAGAAACTGCGCATGCATGTGTATTTTGGTAGGGTAGATGGGTTGTTCGTGTCGAATTGCCAATAAAGATTGATTTGATTATATATTGTCATTGTCTAAACTAGGTTGAACTCAAAATTGGGGAAAACGAAGATTTCATACAAGTTCGCAATAAGGTCAAAGAGTACAGATATTATTTTTCACATATGAGAAATTGTACTAGAAATACAGTAAAAAGAAAATATATATATAAATAGGGAACATGTTGTCATAATTAGTCTGATCTTTTTTATGAAGAAGAAGAAAAATATGCAATTTTTTTTTATTTTTTATTTTTTTTTTACTTTCATTTGTTGGTACACCAGATGGCTGTCCATAAATACCCTTAATTACATACATAAATGCACTTACAAATCCAGAGAGTAATTTAAATCATTTTCATAGATGACAAAAGTAGTCATGATTAACACTAACAGAACAGTTTGTACCAATCCTGTAAAGAATGGCTCTAACATAAAGATATGTATATATATGGTACATATATGGTAAAATGACTTGTTAAGGTTATAAAAATGAAAAAAAAAAAATCATGAATCATTTGTAATTGTTATATATTTTGTTATGGGATGTAATGGAGAATCAGAATTTCTAAAAATCACATTCATATTAATCTTCTTGGGGTTTTTTTATGCGATTTTGACACTGTCCCAGTTTGCGAATAGCATATTGTTAAACTGGGACAGGGTATTAGGGTATTACTGGCAAACTGGAACAGCCATTCAAGTCATTCTAATGGAGGAATTGAGTTCCCATTTTATATGTCCCTCATAAATTTAGTTAGTTAGATATTTAAACAAAGACTGTTGAACTACTTATTGAGCTTGCTTGCGATAATATAGGCACAGTCCAGACTGCCCAAGCTGGCTTCAGGGGGACTGGGATGTATCCAGTAAATCCTATGGCTCATACACATTGGGGATAGTCACATACACATATAGGGGAGGGGGTCTGCTGTACCTGCACCCCTTCTTTAAAAAAGTGATGTTTATATTATTGTTGTTGTTTATAACGTTGTTTATGTTGTTAAATGTATTTCATTCATAAGGCCTACACTTAAATAACAATTGAATGTGTTTTAAATGTGCCAGTTTGACAGAGCCTTGAAAAATGTGGTTTCATTGTGTGTTTATGGAAGAGTCATCTGTGTTTAATTCTTTCTTTTCTATTGTATAGTAGAGCTCTTAAGCTATTTAGAATAGTATCATATTAGTGGCTAGACATTTGGATCATATATATATATATATATATATATATATATATATATATATATCTTGCGCATGTGCAGTCCTAAGCGCGGTGTCTCAGGACACTGACGCATGCGCAACTAAACCCGCGCGTGGCAAGATTCGGAATCTAACGGTAATTTAACTTCACCAAAGCTGAGCAAGATAAAAAATACCTTCAAACATGTATTGTAAGTAAATATTTATATCACAATTTTGAATATAAAATAGAAACCATGTAAAATTCATGTTGTTATCTATTAAAATATGTTTAAACTAAAGCTTATTTTGACGTATAACTTTACTAGTTGAGGAGCCAGAAGTGGAACCGTATGATCCGTTATTTCTTCCGTTATCGAAATTGGAAACTAAACTGCGAAACCGGCAGTTCCTCCACAACATGGGCAAGGTGCTAAAACTCTCCTGGCTTAAAGACAAGACGCCTGACGTGAGCGAGCTTACACTTTTGCCATCCTGTGTTTTTATTCGTTTACTGAGATAAATCAATAAGTCTTAGATGATTGAAGTGACGTAACATCCGATTAACCTACATGTTTTTTTTTTCTCCCCAGGACGTCGAGTCAATTCACCGAATGCTGATGCCCTCTTTTGCCTGCAGATGCGTGGAGAACAACGACTTTATATCTTTACAGGAGATTCTCAAGCATGTAAGATGTAGAATGCATTAGACTATTAAGTTAGCTTCTTCTCTTTCATATGACCATTAATATAATTCTTAATCCATGCTTTATCTCTTTAGATGAAGGAAGATGCTGGAAACTATGATGGATACACTGCCCTGCACTTTGCCTGTGAAACGGGGAACATTAAAATGGCAATGCATTTACTGTCTATTGGAGCAACATGCCAAGCGACTACCCGCTTTGGTTACACACCTCTGCATCTTGCCATAAAAAACAAGTAAGTGGTTTTCACCAGTTTAAATGATTTAATTTACCTACATTTCAGTTTTTACACCATTGCCTTACATATGCCAGGCACTTTGGCGTGATCAAGATTTTGATACAGCGCGGAGCCACAGTAACTCAAAATCCTCTGCGAATCGGCATGGATCTTATCAAGTCAGTCTTTCAAACAACAATTAACTTGGCAGTCTGTCTGTTGTGGACATTTTCATTGAACTGTCCTCTCTAATTTAGGGCGGTTTGGGCTAAAGACTATCGGCTTGTGCGTGCATGGTTCTTAGCTGGTACAAACATGAACCAGTGTGATTACAATGGACAGACTGCTTTACATGCAGCAGTGGAGAAGAGGAACAAGCTCATGGTGTCCAAACTTCTTCAATATGGCGCGACCCCAGAGGTATAATAAAAGTACATTTGTTAATATGTACAGTATACTGAACATTATGAATGTATGGGTTTTTTTTTTTTACTTTTTTTTTGATTGGTGGCACTCTAGCAATTCAAATATTGAACCCTTATGGTCTCCTCATGCAGCTGCAGCACTCCTGTAAATGACCCGAGGACCTAAAATTATTGTTAAAGGGGTGGTAAAACACGATTTCACTTTTCTAACTGTAGTTGATGTGAAATGTTGCTGTTTGAGCTTAAAACAACATCTGCAAAGTTACAACGCTCAAAGTTCAAAGCAAATAAAGCAAGTTACAACGCTCAAAGTTCAAAGCAGGAGATATTTGCTTTAAAAAAAGTATTTTTAAGGTCTACAGCAAATGGCCGGTAGGGACTACACGACATTCCTCCTGGGTTGCTGACGTCACTAAACCCAATATTTCCATAAACCCCTCCTTTGAGAATATTAAATGACTAAATAAGGGGGGCGAGGCCATTTTATATTGCTTTGGAAAAGAGTTGTTACAGTGCACTCCAAAAACATATTCAAGCCTTCGAAAAAAAAATTTTACCACCCCTTTAATACAATTTTGGTCCAGAAAGCTTATGTCATTTCATTTTGATAATATTTTTTTCTATTATTTGAATGGAATTTTTTTTTACCTCTACATTACAAGATTTTATCAATGATTTAATATATTAATATAAATTATGCACATTTTTTCACATTGTTTCAACTTAAATACAAAATACTCGATTTAGACATTATAAAATAATATTTTGGGAAAGTTCAAGCATTTTTATCACATGGTGATATATGGAAACGTTATATATCTTGGTGTTATCTGTTTTTCTTTTCTTTTTTTCATAACAGTCCAACAACAAATATTTTAGCAATATGCATATTTCAGTAAGAATATTGTGCTTCTATTTATGTTATTGTTCTCCGTCTGTTTGATTTGTTCTATGTCTCATGCCTGTGTGTGTTCTGGATTATGCTAGAATGTTTTTGTTTTTTGGACAAATCCCAATTTTTCCTATTCATTCCTATGCGGGTCAAATTGACCCGTGAGGAAAGGGAATGCTATTTTTATTACAACCACAAACTCCTCGAATCCAGTCAACATTTTTTTTTTGTGTGTATGAATTCCAATTTCAAGTGTGACAATAGTCCTAAGGTCTTGGACCTCTCCCAAATGAAAAATTAAAACAAATAATTTCAGGTCCAAATGGCCCAAAGACAGCATAAGCCATAACCATCAACCTGTATTTGTCTTTTCCCTATCAGATTCCTGATATTTGGGGGAGAACAGCAGCAGATGACGCAAGAAAGAATAACCTGCATGACATTTTGGTGCTCTTCAACCTTCCTATTTGAAACTCACCCTTCAGCATCTCTTTTCAGTCTGTGGTGAAGGAGTCAGACACACCAGGTGACATCAAATGCAAAGGCCTTGACAAAGTAGATCACTACAAAACCGTTAACTAAAATCAACTCCCCCCTTAATGTTTACACAATAAACCAACTCAATTAAAATATATAATTTATTAAATTAATTAACTGAAACTAATCCAGGGTCTGTTTGAGTCATTTTTGGTAGAACATTCTTTTTAGTACCATTAACAAGTGTACACATTCATGTGTTGTCAGTAGGGGTTGAAGGACTATCATTTTAAAGTCGAATATTTGAGTCGACATTGACTAGTCGCTGATGACGTCATTAATGAATAAGCAAATGAGGTTGAAGGAATGGCGAATGACACAGGCAGCGCTGCCCACAAAACTATTGCTCCTACATAACAGCTTATTTTTTAACAGTTCTTTTGTCTTTAGGCCGTTGTATTTCTCACAGATTTCTGTTCGTTCTAAATCAGATACAGAAAAAGTAGCGAAGTAAAGATTACATTTATATGAATGCATTATGCCTGGTTCAGATTACACATTTTTTTGTCTGTTATGATAGTCACTGTGTCAAATTACGCGATTTTGACTCCTAAAATCTTGTTGTGTCGTGGACAAGACACGTCAGACTACACGTTGCTTCCTGACCAGTCATCGCATGCTCGAGAAGGCGAAACTAGTAGCGAGTGACTTCCGGAAACGGACGTAAACAAACAATGGATGAAGCGGTGAGTGTCCTGTGTTCAGAAAAAAGTAAAAAAAGGAAGAAAACCCGACAATGGACACATTCCTGGATTGCTCGAAGAGGACAGTATGGGCTGTCAATCCTCCAAAGAAAACTTGAGGTAAAATAGTGTTTTCTTATATAGTTTTACTTTTAGTTTGAACGTTAGCACCATCGTCTCTCTTTCGTTTCGCCATTTTTGTAAGTTGTGTACGGAAAAGCTTCTGTGCTCCTATTGGTCAACCTCATACATGTGACGGAACCGTCGTGGACGACCGTTAAAAAAAATTAAACATGCTAGTCTTTTTGTCGTGAAGCATCACAGACGCGACGTAGGTTGTCGCCCACAATGACACGAATCCCCACGACACCCTTTGTCAAACGGATTGTGCCAAAATCGGGCAAAAATCATGTAATCTGAACCAGGCATTAGTGAGTGAGGAGAGACTGGCAGTGTCTCTACTAATATTGAATCTGTGGGTTTTATTTACTAAGAAATATATCCTAGAACGTTTGTTTCATAGTTATTTTATTGATAAATCACAGAACAGTCCATGCATGTACATTTTGTAACGTCCAGAATAAGTTGCTGTTGTTTGTTGTTGAGTTTAGTAGACATAGCTGGCGGTAAAGAGGGACTGTTGGGATGATTGGTCAGCCTGGCCTGAGGGCTTGTATTCGCCTTTTGATGCAAGGCTATTGATCTGAAAAGGAAACAAAAAAAAAATAATCAAGATGGACTGCTTCATTTAATATGGTAGGCCTATAAACTGACAACACATTGAAGCATATTGCCCACACGCAGTATTTTAAGTTTGACATTGGTTACCTTGGCACGTGTGACGAAAGCATCCTGTCCAGCCTTCTTGTTCGCTGCCTGTCCCTTCCATGCAGAAAGAGCCGAGGCCTGGAGAGCACGGCCATAAGAGAAGCTCAGCTTCCAGGGTCTGTGCAGGGGAAGCTGGTTCATGGCATTCAGATTCACAGAGGCCTCCTCCTCACTTTGGCCACCAGAGAGGAAGCAGATGCCTGAGAACCAGAAGAGAGATGTTGTACGTTTGAAGAGCACTTAAATGGAGGCCTTCCTCTAGTGACTGGGACGAGGACTGGCATACCTGGCACAGCAGCTGGGACGGTGCGTCTGAGAGCAGTGACTGTTGCCATGGCAACCTCCAGAGGGGTGTACTTCTTGGTGCAGGAGTGTCCAGCAGTGACCATGTTTGGTTTGAGCAGAGTTCCCTCCAGATACACGTGGTGGTCAGAGAGGGCCTTGTACACAGCCGCCAGGACCTTGGTAGCAATTTGTTGAGAGTTATTTTTAATGGATAATTTGGAATTGCTCTGTTTTAAAGGGTTAGTTCACCCAAAAATTCTGCCATTAATTACTCACCCTCATGTCATTCCAAATACGCAAGACCTTCGTTCATCTTTGGAAAACAAATTAAGATATTTTTGATAAAATCCGAGAGGTTTCTGAACCACCCAACGGCAAAAATAACGACTTTATTCAACAATCTCTTCTCTTCCACGTCATTCTGCTACGCTATTCATGAAGTAAACACAGTGCAGCGCTTCCTGGTTCTACATCAGAATGCTAACTATTGGCTAACTTTGTGGATTTACGTGGAAGAGAAGAGATTGTTGAATAAAGTTGTTATTTGAATTTTTTTCACAAGAAGTATTCTCGTCACTTCATAACATTAAAGGACTACTTCACTTTTAAAAAACTTTTGCTGATCATTTACACACACACACATGTCATCCAAGATGTCCATGTCATTCTTTCTTCAGTCAAAAAGAAATTTTTCGAACTCGTTCATCAAAATGAATCTTTTTTCGAGTCATTTGGTTCATTCAACGTACGAAATGACTCGAAAAAAGATTTGTTCATTTTGATGAACGAGTTTGAACAGGAGAGTCACGAACTCGCATCACAGAACAGAGCAAGGTGAGCATTTGTGCTTATAAAACTTAAACTTTTTTATTTATTTTTGAAACGGCCGATCGTTTCGCTTGATAAGACCCTTATTCAAAGCCCTTTGAACAGCTTGCAGTTTGTACTGAAAGTGTCTTTTGGACCTTGAACCGTTTTGTTCCCAATGAAGTGCATTACTGTATATGGAGAAAAATCCTGGAATGTTTTCATCAAAAACCTTAATTTCTTTTTCGACTGAAGAAAGAATGACAAGGACATCTTGGATGACATGGCGGTGAGTAAATTATCAGCAAAAGGTTGTTTTTTTTAAGTGAAAGTCACATGGACTATTTTAACAATGTCTTTACTAACTTTCTGGGCCTTGAAAGTTGCAGTGACGTTGCAGCCTATGGGTGGTTCAGAAACCTCTCGGATTTCATCAAAAATATCTTAAATTGTGTTCCGAAGATGGTTAGGAACGACATGAGGGTGAGTAATTAATGACAGAACTTTCATTTTTTTTAGATGAACCATCCTTGTTTATTCTGGAAGGAAACTTACCTTCTCAGTGGCGTACTGGCACCGTTGCAGATCATGATCTCCGTCTGGGAGGATCTCGGGCTCTACAATGGGAACCAAGCCATTCTAAAGGAATTGAGGAAGAATTAATCAGAAGAAAAGATCTTATAGACAGTTTGGAAACAAAATGAATAGTACTGTTCAGAGGAGCCATTTAAAGGCTGTTTAATAAACAGGATTCCATGAGCCAGCCAAATTCTGTTAAGACATACCTGTTGGCAAATGCTGGCATATCTGGCAAGAACGTTAGCGTTTTCAGCTATTGCGAGAGCAGAGGGGCAGCTGTCAGAGATCTTAAGTACACAACGCCACTTGGCAAAGTCAGCACCATCCTTCTTGTACTGGGCACAGCGTTCAGACAGACCATCCAATCCTGAGTGAAACCGATCAGGCAAAGACAGTTAGTCGGGATAGATAACTGTCATGTTAAGAAGTATTTCAGTAAGAAAGTTACCCTGTGTGGTTGTCTCTCCATTTGTTCCACCCAGGCCTGCTGTGCCTTTGTCCACCTTTATGAACACAAACACAAAATTTTCATTCATAACATTACTGTCAAGATTAATGAGAAGACCCTGTAACTATGTTTTGGCAAATATCTTCAGAAAAAGCACCGAAACCTCACCTTGATGCCAACTACGATGCCCTTGTCCTTGATGACTTTTGGAAACAGAACTCCTTTGTCTGATTTCTGGTACATTGTTTCATGGAAAAAGATGACACCACCAATATTTTCAGAGATAGAATCGTCTACAGAGAAGAGGAGGTCGCGATAGCTACGACGATTCTCTTCGGTGTTCTCCACTTTAATCTTCTGAAAACGGTTTCCCATGGTGCCTAGAATATGAAACAAACATCTAAGAACATCTGGAGAGGGATACATTTCATTATCACTACATCTTCATGCATAACACTGTTAATAACCAATTATAGTGACAGTTGAAGCACATTTCTAATTTGTTGTTGATCAATTAAGACGCTTATTCATCGTCTGGTGTCGTTTAAAGCCCTTTGAAGCTGCACTGAAACTCTCACTTGGACCTTGAACCGTTTGGTTCCCATTGAAGTCCATTATATGGAGAAAATCCTGGAATGTTTTCATCAAAAACCTTAATTTCTTTTCGACTGAAGAAAGAATGAAATGGACATCTTGGATGACATGGGGGTGAGTAAATTATCAGCAAACTACTCCTTTAAGTCATTTTGCATAAAGGTGGTACTCTATCCAATGCAGTACGCCACACATTCCTACCTGTGGACTCATCTGCAGCCAAGATGCCTTTTCCAGGTGCCACAATGCGCTGGGCGATTGTGCTAAGCTCCTTCTTCTGCTCCGTAGAGAGAGCTGGAAACTGATGCGTCATCCTGGCAAGAGGAGCAGATGTACAATTATTAGCTAAAATACTAAAACCTGTAATTTACAGAACTTCTCTTATTCGGCTCACTGGGTTATTCACTCTTATCTGTAAATATTTGGCCTGACTGTTGAACTTTAGTCCAGAGAGGAACACACAGGCTCCTCCCACTGAACAAACAAGTCCAGGGTTCACACTAGACTTGAAGATTTAGCAGTTTTCTTTGCGATTATGTGCAAAAAGTTTCACACATTCGCGCAATATCATTAACAACTGTACAATACTGTTTTTATTTACACGCTGTGTATATTCAAGTTATGAATTGCCTTCCTTTTTCGCAGTACACGAAAATATTGCAAAATGCATTGTCTGCGTTGATTCAGTAGATCATTTTGCGCTGTCAAACCAAACAATGAAATTGCTAATGTGATTCATGACATAAATTAAAGAGCAGAACCTAAATATGTAGTGACAGTATTGCATAACACACCTGCAGTTTGAGAACAACTGCATGTTGACGTTTCAAAACGTACGATTATGTTACGTATAAGTATACACATCCAAACAAGGAAGGCAACAACATAATATACTTGATGAAATTATTATTAATACTATTTTCGCAAGATGCAGTGACAATATAAAGAGTTTAAAAGTCGCTTACTTGACAGGTCTGCAGGTAAGTTGCACTAGTGTGTGAATGGATGGAGTGGCCTCTCCTCACTGACGACGATGGATCTGAATGGATCGGGACCGAGCGATTGGGACAAGTGAGTATTTATGTGAGGCGAGCGCAGAGGCCGGGCTGGAGTGATGCGAACGGGCGTGCTTAGACTCCGGGGACGCCATTGGCTGGGGATTGGGTGTGTGAAAATATCTGCTTATGTGGACTTTGGAAGAAGGCTTTTAACTCCAAAATGTCCATAATAGGCCTGGCCACATCCATCCTTGCACTTAGTGTAACACATATTTTAAATTAATTCGCAAAATATTTGGAAAACCATGGATGAACTGTGAGGCACAGGGTTGTGAAACGTGAGTTTTAAGTTAAAGTTGATTTTCAGGTTCTTCAGTTTCCGCATTGTCCTTCTCAAGCATGTTCACTTTGCAACCTTTCTATTAAGTCACACTTTTTGTTGTATACTAAATATCTGGAAAAGGCATTGTGCTATGTGATATTACATAAAAGAGAGCATATGAAAGAAAACATGTCGACCTTCTGCAAAATGAAATGCTTTTTAAGGTCCAGAAGACCGTTGTGTGGGTGTTTGGATGAGGAGCCTGGGACTAAATAAACACTAAATAAAAATAAAACGCATGCTGTTGTTAACATACTTTCACTAACATTTCTTTGTAAGAGAAATGTGCTCAGTTGGCACCTTAAAAATACACTAAACATAAAATACTAAAAATGCCAGGCTACTCAAATAGTTAGGCTACTTTGTGTGTGTGTGTGGGTGTGTGGCCTGGACAAAAACTGCCCCCACAAACTTGACCATATTTTAAATACATAACCTATCCTTTTTTGTGTTTTGGAAAGGTAAAAATGTGTTATTTATTTCTGTGATGGGTAGGTTTAGGGGATAAAATATGCAGTTTGTACAAGTCCATTCCATCTGGGGAGAGTCCGTCCCCATAAAACATGAAAACCCAACGTGTGTGTGTGTGTGTGTGTGTGTTTGCTGGATGTGTGTGGATAACAAAGTTGTCTGATTGTTGTGACATCATTCAAACAGAGAATTACATCAAGAGCAGTTGATGAAATCACTTTGGCAAACAGACAAGACATCCGATGAAAGGGTTCCAGGAGCAATGCCAGTGATAAACTTGCAGCATAATGAAGACAAAGAGGTGCACAAATGACCAGGCAAAAAAACAAGGGGAAACAAATCTAGGGATTTCACAACATGAACTCTGAATTCAAATCCAAGAGTCTGAAATGCATGCAAGGACAGAGTCCAAATAGTCATCATAGTTCATGCACAGAGTGTGACACAATTGCAGTGACAAATAATGGTGTAAGGATCCTCACAGAAACCTTAATGTTGTTTTGCATTTCAATAATATCTAATTATCTTTTTTTTCAATTATTATTACTTGAAGACGGTATTTGCGCATTCTTGTGGAATCACAAAACTATTGACTCTGCTTGAATATCTTGTAATATTATGCTAAATAAGACATGTCTCTTCTTGTTTAATCTTTTGTGTGCCCAAAAATGAATGCATCAATCAAATAAAGACCATAGAATCAACCAACCGTTAAAGGGACAGTTCACCTAAAATTAAAATTCTGTCATAATTTACTCACCCTCAAGTTGTTTCAAACCTGTATGAGTTTCTTCTGCTGAACACAAAAGAAGATATTTTTATGAATGTGGGTAATCAGGCATTTGATTGACCCCATTGACTTACATAGTAGGGAAAAATACCATGGTGTCCATCAACTGTTTGGTTACCAACATTCTTCAAAATATATTCTTTTGTGTTCAGCAGGAGAAATACACGCATACAGGTTGAAACTACTTCAGGGTGAGTAAATAATGACAGAATTTTCATTTTTAAGCGAACTATTCCTTTAAATTGTGTTGTATAGTTGATAATCCCAGGGATAGGAGACACAGGCCTGAAACGGTCCTTCCACCACGAGGTGGCGCTGCAGTTCTGCAGACTCCCTCAGCACAGCGCCGGTAGAAGAAGAGAAGCTGCGCTGTTTCCGGGAGGTGTTTCGGCCGATGGATGAAGCGCAACAGCTACATCCACAAAACCATTTCACAATCAATAACAAACAAAATTAGGTAAGAAATGAACAAAAACATAGTTAGAGTGTTATTATATAATGCACATTGCGTTTTTAGCGCGAGAGTGTACCAGTGCTTTCTTAGATCAGTTGTGCTCGGGATTACACTGACTCGCCGCAGTTTAACAATAAATATATTTGCTTATATTCGTGTAACTGCCTATTATATATTAATGACGGTTACGCCTGTGTGTTATTATGTACTCTAACAATAAAGTATCATTGTATCGGCTGAAATATCACGGAGTACCATGTCAATACACATAACGTTAGAGTATATGAATGAGAACCACGATATTTTTTTTTTTAAATGCTAACTTATGTTGTCATATTTTACCATTAGTAGCAGTGTAAGTTATTCACCATGCTAAAATACTGAAGATTAGTACAGTTTGATGTAAAGTTTAGCGCTACTTTAGTACTAATATTTCTAAGAACAATTAAAACATTATTATTACTTCTTAAATGTGCTGATACCTCTTTTATTAGGCATATTTCAATTTAAATGTTAGCATAATACATTAATAAACATTTAATAAAATCATAAATAATACTACTAATATCGTTATGATGATAATAATTAGAAACTAGCATTATAATTCTTATACAACATGTATTGTATGTATACTAGAAATAATGACAACAGCAATAGTAATATTATACATCATTATTGGTTTATTAGCCTGATGTTTAGAAGCATAATTTAAGTCTTTGAACATTTATTCTCCCAATTCCTTGACTCTTTTCATAGATTATTTATTGTTTGTTATAATTCCCCCATAAGTACTTTTCCATAAGTGCTTTTGTGGTTTCTGACTGTGTATGGACTCTCTAATGGTGTATTTTTCACAGTGAGGTGCGTGATGTCCGGTCAGAAGCGCCCCAGTGATCCCAGTAGCTCTGCCCTCCTCGGTGCTCCTCCAGAGAAGAAGAAGGGAGGTGAGGATGGAGAGGGAATGAGCACTGGGTCAGGAGGAAGCACTGCTGTGGAAACCGTCATCAAACTGGGAGGAGGATCCAACCTGGTGAGAGGCTCTTTTTGTGGAAATCATTTGAGCAATATATATATATATGTATATGTGTGTGTGTGTGTCTTATATTTAATATTTAGGTAGGTTGGTTGCACTCCTGACTTAATTGTTTGTCTTGAAACTGTTGTGAATGCGTGCCAGTGTTAACTTCTGACTCCTGATTCTTGGTCCCCACTTTTGTTCTTGCAGGAAGAACAAGATATAAAAGCCCTGCAGATCAAAAACAGGAAGTTGGGAGAATCCCTAGACCAAAGACAGGTAGATTCATAACTCGTATATACAACCCTTTCATTATTTACAAAAAACATTGAACAGAGTTTTACATCATCATTACAATTACAATTACATTCCATTTCCTACTGAAAAGTGGGACACATGTGTACATGCAAACATGGACTCTTCCTTCTATGTTGATGTAGGTGATTGAGGATGAACTGAGAGAGAGAGTTGAGAGGTTGGAGACTCGTCAGGCGACAGATGATGCAAGTTTGTTGATTCTAAACAGATACTGGAACCAGGTAAAGTTTTTTGGGTTTTATTTTCAGTCTATATTATATTTCTCTCAATCGCTACCATTTTTTTTTATTCCTGATTTTTGTTCCACCCTACTTTTTCAGTTTGATGAAAATGTGCGATTAATTGTTCATCGCTATGACCAATCGGGGAGTGAGCCTGTGGAAAGCCAACCGCCCGAAGGCCGGAGCTTAAAACCTGGAACACCAGAACCAGATGGAGACTCGAACCAGGAGCGTGCAAAAGACAGAGGTACAAAATTTCCCCCGAGAAAAGAAAATTCTGCCATCATTTACTCACCCTCAAGTTGTTCCAAACCTGGATGAGTTTCTTTCTTTTGTTGAACAACAATGGCGGTAACCAAAACCCCATTGACTTTAATAGTATTCATGTGTAATGGGGTCCATCAACTGTCTGGGTATAAATTACAGAATCAGCTGATTTCTGAAAATGAATGTAAAACTAAATGTAAATTGCAGCACAGGGTGAAATCAGTATTTATGATGATTTGAGACAAATATAACGTAAATGTAATATAAAACTGTAAATGGCGCTCTGTGTCCTGAGCCATTGCTGGCCGCTGCGTATAGATGTGTTGGTGCTGCGCTTCCTGTTAGATGTGCAAGCCCCTTTAGGCACACTAATATCATTTTCTTAAATATATTTAATACTAAAAACAAATTTACCACGTGCTGAGAATTATTGCAACTCTGTAATAGGCCAAAATGTGATGTTCGACTTTCCCAAGTGCCTCTACTCTTCCTTGTTGAATCCGCAAGCTTGACTTGAATTTGAATTTAAATTTAATTTGCTGCTCTGAATGTCTTCCTCATCTTGAAAACTTGAAGCTGTATTCTTAAAATAAAAAAGTATATTTTATTTATGTAATTTATCAAGTGCAATTTAAATTAATTGCAGCGTTATTAAATGAAAACCAATAAATGTAGTAATTGATTTTTAAAAAAGACTTTATCTTCCCTCTTGGTTTTTTATTTTTGGTTTTGCAAAAAAAATAATCATTTTGATGCATCGTTTCATTCTTGTTCTTTTTGCTTAGGGTATCAACAGCTAAAGTTTAGTCTTGTGGCTTCAGACAAGACCACAGTCCATTTAAAAAAATATTTAAGTCGGGATGACAACAGAAATTCAAATAGTCTTTTCTTCCCTATTGTGATGCATGTATGTCCGAGTGAAGCGGCTTTTCAAACCAGAACAGATGTAGGGTGGGACTTGATTTTGTCAATGGGGAATTGATTGGATGGTTGTGGTTTGCTATTGGTGGATCTGATGCAGTAGCGGAGTGGCAATCGGGAGAGTCGGGAGTTTTCCCGGTGGGCCGGTAGTGTTACGAGGCCGCGAGGGCCGGCCCGGTCTGATAAAATGTATTTATTGGAAGTTCGCCATGGCCCAAGCTAAGGGAAGAAAACAAATTTTTTTTTACATTTTTTATAACGGAGCATATATTTGCACTAAATGCCTGTCTTTACAGCAAAACGACACCTGTCACAGAACAGCCTCAGTTGCGTAGGTCGTTGGGCGTGAAGTGTTTGAATGCAGCTTTTTGATGCGCTGAACGCAAGTTCGAATCCGCCTTTCCGAACTCTCTCTTCTCCCTTTTCCCAACACAGATATGTAACGATGTAAAATGTAATTTTCCTATTATAGTGTAATGTAGGTTAAAATATACTTTTGAAATACTCATTTTCATTTACACGTTTATAGGCTATAAATGGATTTTACAGTACGTCATAGGAATAATTATAAATCATTATTACATTATTATAATAATTGTTTGGCATCCTAAAACACCATTGATAATGTAATGCAAACTGAGACTCTCATAACTAAAAAAATATTTGAGCCCTCTTTATTGTCCTGGTACAAATTAATGTTTTTTCTTTGTTCAATGAGCAGTTCATGGGTCTTAATTTCGATCTCTCAGAGAGCATGAGATTGATGCATTATAACCTTAAAATGTTCAAAATTTTCTTGCGGGGGAGCATGCCTCCGGACCCCCCTAGAGGCACAGAGTCCACCCAACTAGTTTTAGAAAGTGCTATGGGAAAGAACGACCATTTAGGAACTTTACTCCAGAAAACTAGTACAACAAATTTCCCTTTAAATCAGTAAAACTGTAAATGCTATTGGCTAATCGTGCCGGCGACGAGGGCCGGTGGTCTACGAAATTTCCCGGTAGATTTTTTGGTCCCTCTCCGCCCCTGATCTGATGTGAGTGACAGGTTGACCCGCCCTCACGCCAGTAGACACATCATCAGAGAAGAGAGGGAGGCGAAGTTATTTTGATTAAAGATTACACCTTCATTTAAAAAAAAAAAAAATTCACAGATAAATAATTACATTTCTAATAAATAGTACAATATTCCATAAAAAAACAAGAATTTCACGGTGGCTAATGATTTCATGGTGATCATTACACTATAACAGCAACTTTCATGGTGTTTGAATTTTATTCCCCATTTTCTCTGTTCTTTGAAGGCCAGATCTGTCTTTTCTTGATGGAAACCTGTTCCTCTTGTAATGTTTCACACAGGTCAACAGGGGGAGGGAGTGAGCTCTTTTCTGGCCACGCTGGCCAGCAGCAGCAGCGAGGAGATCGACACAGAGTTGAAGGAGCGAGTGGAGTCCAGCTGCAAACAGGCCAGTCGTGTGGTGGAAATCTACGAGAACCTGAAGAACACGGTTGATCAACTGAAGAAGGATGTGGAGTCTGGAACAGGTGAGACCAACTCTACGCTTCTCAACATCTCTTGTTGATCAATCCATCAAATGAATTAAAAACAAACTATTTATTTATACAGTCTGTATTTAATGTGTTTATTCATGTGATTTCCTTCAGGTGGCAGTCTCTGGGACGCCGCTGTCCGCCTCAACACCCTCCTGACCAATGAGAATGAACGTCTCCGCCAACTGACCAACAGCCTCCAGCAGAAGCATAGCCACATGACCAGTGAGGTTGGTGGTTGATTTGTTGGCATGTTCATCTGTTAACGTTGCCGTATTGCTCTTAATGTATGTGTATGTGTGTTTAGTCTCGTTCTTTGGGTCGCGCGGCTAATCGTGCTGATAACAGGATCAGTGAGCTGCAGGGTCTTATTGAGGAGCTGCAGTGGGACATGGAGAAAATCAGACGGAGGGAGAATCGCCTCAACACACACCTCGCAGAGGTGCTAGAAAGGGTAAGTGGTATTTGCACCACAGTCAACATGAAATCAAAATGGACACTACTTGGCATTTTAAGGCCCTGATATACTTTAAGTACAATCAAAGAAAGAACTGGTGTGGCATCATTTCGAACAAAATAAGTTTGTTTAGAGTTCTTAATTATAATTGATAGTGACTGACACGCTAATTGTATTACTGCTGCACAGGTATTTCAAACTTCTTTTTACCCCTAAGCGTAGAACGAAAAAGAACGTCCTGGAATGAGTATATTGGGGCCTGTAAAGTCGACGTAAAAAAAAAAAAAAAAAAAAATGACCTAGTTTTTTTTTTTTTTTTTTTTAATTTTTAAACCAATTTTTCTTGCCTCTGGTATTGAGCTATTTGTTCAGTATTCTTTCCGCAACTGATTTGGCTCACTGCCGCACACACAATCATTCTCTTTCTATGAAACCTGTAAAGCTCTATAGTGGTTAGGGGTGTCACTATTCTCCAAATCCGCTATTTGATCACATTTTCAATTCTATGGTCACGGTTCAATTCGATTCTCGATTTTTATCAATCGGCCAATCAGGATGCTCTCTGTCTTACATGCGCTTGTTGAGGCACACACGCAAGGTCTCTCGCTCTCTCCCTCTCTTCCGTGCACACAATACGGTTTGGAGCACAGTTTTTTTCTATGCACGCTCGCTCTTGCTCGCTCACTCTAGATTCTGGGAGATTTTAACTAATTTGCGTGCATCAGGGAGCCACTATCAATATGCGGGAGACTCCCGGCACTTCAGCAAGACTTGGGATGTCTGCAAACGGTGGCTTTTTTGAAGCGGAAACGTTGTCAACATAACACACTGGTAATCCAAAAAACTTCCACACCTGCGACTTCAATGATTCAAGTTCTGTCGATGGGTCTCTTGCATCTGCAGTTGCCATGCTATCTTTTGAATGGCTCTAGCTAAGTTAGAGGAGGTTGACCATAGACTCGCAGCACTTCAACACGCATGTTTTTTCCACTTGGCAAGGTGACCGGATGTGACATTGGGGCTTGGCAGCAACGACTGTTCCATTTTTTTATTTTTTATTTTTTTTTAATTCGAAGTTCGAGATTGTGAATTAATTTTGATCGATTTCTATTTAAAATGAAATCGTGACACCCTTATAATTTCTCATTCGAAGTATTATCAAATGGATTTCCCCACACATTTCGCATCTGTGCGGCCCAATCAACAATCAATGCAGAGAACTGAGTCCCGCCCTACAAGCTTATCTTTTTCAATAATTGATTACACTCAGATGTATGCCACAATACAGAAGAAAAGTTCTGTTGCTACTTTCATTTCAAACACGTTCATTGTCTTTTTGAGTATGATTGATTAACGCATGTTATTCTTTCTTCTCTGCTAATGTCAACTGGGCCAAAATTAACTTTAATAAATAGCCAAAAAACTTTTTAGTCTTCAATTTAGGCTACTGCTGTGTATAATACAGCCTTTCTTTAGTTACCAGCATTTTAATATCAGTTAACAGTAGTAATGTGATGAGGTTTACCGCTATAATAGCAAATGACAATGGATTTAAAAAAAGGCACTGGGATATGTCAAGATGTAATGTCAAAACATACGGACTTCTACAAATATTTGTGATGGTAAACCCAAGATATAGTGTTGTTATTGTTTTACATTGTGCCGGACCTGATAGTGTGCTCTTCCACCATAACCAGGTGAACAGCAAAGGTTATAAGGTGTGTGGCGAAGCCAGCAGTGTATGTGGAACCATCACAATCAACAAAAGAAAGGTAAATGACTCCTTATTATTATCAATGTTGAAAACAGTTGTAGCTTCATATTTTTGGAGAAACTGTAATGCATTTTGTTTAGGATTCTTTTTTGTAAAATTATAATACTATTTATCAATTTAATGCATCCTTGCTAAAAAAAAAAAAAAAAAAAAAAAATCACCCCAAACCTTTGAATGGTAGTGTATCTTTAATACTTGCTCAACCATATATTGATGACATTGGCAGGTTTGTGCTAAATGGTTTTGCTATAGAATATATTGTTATAAATGTTGAATATTAAACCCTTTCTCATCTGTTGTTAGTTTGAGGAGATGGACAGTGAGTTGGAGGAGAACAGGGAGCTGGCGGAGAACCGGCTCAGTGAGCTCCAGAAACTCCAGCAGGACCTGCAGACAGTTTACCAGGAGAACAATAACATGAAGGTAAAGCCCTCGAGAGCACACACACCATTAACTTGTTGGATTAATATGAGGTTTATTGTGAGATCTCCTGTTCAGGCATTACCTGATTCAATCTGATATTCAGAGGCAATCAACTGTTCAGCTCTTTGGAGTGGAAGATTAAAACCCCACTATAAATCTTGAAGTAACACTTGAAGACAGATACTCTGAAAAACACTCCTTTTAGTAATGGTGGGATTTACTGAAGCTTGCACATTATCTGATTTATCTGTCTTCTGAGGTATTTTGCACTATAAAATCATCCTACCCGTTTATTTCATACTGGTAGGACAATCTGATGAGATATTTTGCACCGTAAAATCATCGGTAACGCTTCCTTTTACAGTCCAGTTACCCATGTAAATACTATGTACTTATTTTAGTAACTACAATTACTGGGTAATAACTAGTACTAACCCTGAACCTACCCCTGTTCCATGTACTTACCTTATATTAGCCAGTAATTTCTAGGTAAGTACACTGTAAGTACTGTACTGTAAAAGGAAGCGTTACCAAATCATCCTAGCGCTACCCGTTTATTTCACAGATCTGATTATGTAACGTTACTTTGCACTGTAAAATCACCCTGCATCACCTAATAAGTATCTTTGGTAAAATTACATTGAATTATTTTATTTGGCACAGACGCGAAGCAGAAACGCGTAGTAGGAATTTACGATGAGGTAGGATGAACCGATAGATATTGCTATAATTTTGCAACCAGGAAGAATGCCAAGAATGCAACCAGGAAAACATTCTTAGTACTCTGGGAACCACTCTGGTGGCTAATTCCTAGATCTACCCGGTGTGAAAGGCCCTTTAGATTGACTAACAGGACGTGCATGGTTCTCTCTCTCTGACAGTTGGAGTTGTTGTCCAGGGCTGAGGAGGTGGCCAGAGAGAGTGCTGAGTATCGCTGTCTGCAGTCTCAGTTCTCTGTGCTCTATAACGAATCACTGGTGCTGAAATCGCAGCTGGACGAGACCAAAGCACGGCTCAACACGACCAGGACCGCCCGCCTGCGCCAGCTGGACCACATGGAGGTACGTGGGGGGATAATGTGAATGAACTGGGAATTAAATGATGTTGAGGAGGGATGGCTGTGTGATTGATGATTTATGCGTGTTATTTCAGAACGACGAGGTGTCCTTGCAGCGTAAGGTCCGCACTGAAGTGATTCAGTTGGAAGACACGTTAGCACAGGTGCGCAAGGAGTACGAGATGCTCAGGATCGAGTTTGAGCAGACATTAGCTGCTAATGAACAAGCAGGTAACATTCGTTGCTCTCTTTATAATGATGTGCTCATGTTGGTCTTTTTGTTAAGATCAGCCTTTGAAGTGAGTCTATAGTGCCTTCTCGTTCTTTCTCAGGTCCTATAAACCGTGAGATGAGACATTTGATCAGTACGCTGCAGAATCATAACCAGCAGATGAAGGGAGAAGTGGTCAAGTATAAACTCAGACTGAGAGAGTCTCAGCAAGAGCACAACCAGGCGAGAACACAAACTTATTGCCTCTGAAATAAAACAAGTATTAGAAGCAAATATTTACTCATTAAGAAAATAAGTGGTTGCTGAAGTTTCTGTTGTGTCTTATAGCTCCGTGTTGCCAAAGGTAATGCTGCTGTCCAATCACAGTCGAGCACAGAGATGGATGTGAAGGAAGAGACCGCCTCCCCTTTAACACCCGCCCCGACGGGTGACGTCACTGTGAAGACCGAACCAGATAGCGGCTCCGCCACACCCAGCACAACTGGTACACACTGCGTTTTTAATCTTTAATTGGGGGTGTTTGCCGAGGTATTAAACTATGTATTGAACTACTGTGTGTATTACGTCCTGCACCGTTACGGATATGAGTAATACATCAAATTGTTTGGCTTGTTCGGGTGAGGTTTGTTGTTACTTTTCTAAATGATCAAAATAAGATTTTGACATGGCAGACGATATGAATATTGTTATGTAGGGCTGCACGATATATTGAAAATTATGTCTCTAACGCAAGCAAAAGGGTTATTAAAGTAAACTAAAACTAAAAACTAGGTCTGTCAAACGATTAATCGCATCCAAAATAAAAGTTTGTGTTACATAATATATATATATATATAAATACATACACATGCATGTATATTTAAGAAAAAAATATTATTTATTTATAAAATATTTATATATAATATAAATTATATATAAATCTATAATGAGTATATACATGAAAATATTTCTTAAATATATACAAGTGTGTGTGTGCGTGTATATGTGTGTATATATATATATTTATTTATTAAATTATACACAGTGCACCCACATATATTATATAAACACAAACTTTTATTTTGGATGCGATTAATCATTTGACAGCCCTACTAAAACAAACTCAGAAATTTAGAATCTGAAATTAAAAAAAAAATGTTTAATAAGGCAACATTTCTATTACAAGTTGATGTAATAAAATGACTAAAACTGAATTAATAAAAAATCTATATAGACATATTTAAAATATAATAATAATAATAATAATACAATGACTAAACAATAAAATGAATACTTTAAAATGAAAATGAAAATATAAAGATAAAAGCTAATTTAAAATATTGGTGAAAAATATCGATGTCGATTTTAATTGATTCTCATTTTGATACTGATCATATCAATATTGATTCTTAAATTCCAATAATCGTCCAATCTATGCTGATTTCAGTTGATGAATGAACGTAGCTAGCTTTGTAGCTAGCCTTGCAGAGTTGTAGACAGACGTTAGTCACTGGGCAAACAGCAGCCACCTTTTCAGCCACCGTTCCCGCTTGAACCAAAACAGAGGTCGTGTGCTGCGTTCATGCCATGTCGTAATTGTAATTACAAAATGGCAACCAGTGACGTTCTACCTGGAACTCTTACTGATTTTTTTGTCAAGACCATCAATGCTGGAATGGATCTGCACCAGTAAAAAAGGGCCTACATTATTTTAAATATGTAGTCGGTGACAGTGTGCAAGCATATGAGTCTAACATAATTCTGTATTTTCAGCTGTGTTTACATTTCTTAACTTTTTATATATAAGCTGCATTCTAGCACTTATATATTATATATTTTCCCTTCAGGTGCAGCGGTTAAGACTGAACCAGGTACGGATGCGGAGACTGCGGTGAAAGAGGAGGAAAAAGAAAAGGATAAGGAAAAGGAGAAAGAAAAAGACAAGGAAAAAGAGAAGGAGCAGAGAGAACGAGAGAGGGTGACTCGTGGGAGTACTGGAGGCATAGCGGTGAAAGAAGAAAGAGAGAAAGCCAGCACTAGCAGCAGCCAATCAGAAGACTTAGCAGTTGAACGCTGCACTGTGATTGGAGGACCTAAACGCAAGGAGGTGGAGCAGCTGAAAATAGTACGGGTGGAGCTGAAGTAAGTCATTCTGCTCAAAACGATGATTGTAATAATGAAAATGACTTGCATTTACATTTATTCATTTAGCAGACGCTTTTATCCAAAGCAACTTACAAATGAGAACAAAAGAAGCAGTTAACAATTGGACAACAATATGCAAGTGCTATGACCCTTCCCAGTTTAATCTAACGTAGTACGTGTACTTTTTATTTTAGTTCTGTAGGCATAGTCAGTGACTTGAATTTGATGCGAGCGGCAACTGGTAACCAGTGCAGTTTTGCGAGGAGAGGAGTGATGTGTGCTCTCGGTTCGTTAAAGACGTTAAAGAGGTTTGACAGTGCAAGCTGGAAGACCAGCCAGGAGAGCATTACAATAGTCCAGTCTGGATAGAACAAGTGCATGGACAAGGAGTTGTGTAGCATGCTCTGTAAGGAAGGGCCTGATCCTCTTAATGTTGTATAGGGCAAATCTGCAGTTCTAGCAATGTGGTCTGTGAAGTTCAATTGATCATCAATCACAACTCCAAGGTTCCTGGCTGCCCTTGATGGAGTTATGGATAAAAAATCTAGCTGAATGGAGAAGTTGTAGTGTAGTGTTGGGTTGGCCAGGATCCACAAGCAACTCCTTGTCTTTGCATGGTTTAGTTGAAGGTGGTGGTCCTTCATCCAGTCTGTCAGGACAGGAGGTCTGGTGGTTAACTGTGTCAAAGGCAGCAAACCTGAAAAAGAAGGAGGCTATAATGTGTGTGTTAGCTGGTAAGATATGCATGTGTCACTTTGTGGTTTAGTAAATTGGCCACTCATAGTGGTTGTTTTATTTATGATGAATTTGGCAAAATCGTCAGCTGTTAGGGTTGATGAAGGACGTTTGAGAAGGAGAGAGTTTTGAAAAGCATGCTATAGTAGTCATTTTAGCAGTAGAGATATTAGCAAAGAAGGAATAGAGGAGGAATTGATAATGGGATCTTTCGATTTGCGCCACTTCCTCTCTGCACCCCTGAGTTTAGAACTATGTTCGCAGAGATTATCAGGGGACAGACGGGGTGGCGTGGGCTAGCCTGGAGGAAAGGGGGCAGAAGTTGTCCAAGCAGGATGTTAAAGTGGAGAAAAGGGTATCAGTTACACTGTTAGTATCTAGTGTTGAGAGCTGATCAGGTGAAGGAAGTGTGGATGAGACCAAAGAGGATAGGTGACGGCCTTCACTCGAGAAATGACGCGTATACTGCTTGCTTTTATACTAATCTGAAACATCATTATTGAATACAGCTGGACACGCCTCACCAGCTAAACGGTTTACCTTGTGACTAAACACAAACAAACAAGACTATCAACTAGATTTCAGCACAGTGAACAACTGCACTTTAAATCAAATGAGAAAAAGATCCAAAACACTTAGTTACTATCACCTCAGGCTAGTTGTTCGAAGGAAAGCTGATCGGATTTTGGTTATCGGATTGGATCAAATCTTGAAAATGGGTTGTTCAAAAGGGAAAGAAGGAATCTGAAATCAGATTAGATCAGGGAATCCAATCCTAGTTTTAATCTGGATCAAACCTTCAGTTTGTGTTGTTCAAAACTTGTCAGTGGGATTTGGATAACTTTGATCCAAAAAAACAGGATTATCCTGATCCCAACAGGGGGTAGGATTTCAAGGTGGATTTCGGGAAGAAAATGTAGTAAAACTTTAAAATGGGTCAAATAATACATTTCTATCATTTAGTGTATATACTTTTATTTATATTTTGCACTTGACTTGTGTAACTGTTGTAACAGTGATATAGGCTAACAATCAAGCTATTCAGTATAGTAAAGTAAAAATAAAATAAAAATTATCATCCCCATTTGTGTTTTGTCTCAAAATAAGAAACACTTACAGTGACCCCATGTTGGCTCTTCTACCTGTTCTTTACATAGCTGGTAGCCCACATTGGGATATGTCGTCCCATTTAGAGCACTGGTAATCTTCATTTGGTAATCTTGAAAACTGTGTATCTGGATCAGGGTGATCCAGATTCCAGTCCAATGTTGCTTTGAAAAACCGGCATAAAAGTAAGACGGATTACTGATTCTGGATAGGAAAAAATGGGATTTCCAAATCCGGATCATTTTGATCCAGATTAAATGTTTTGAACAACTGGCCCCTCCTGTTTCTTGACTGCTTCTTTCTGATTTGCAAATTCAAGTCCAAAGACTTTGGGAAGTGTCAATAATGATAATAGGGAAGCTGATGGTAATAATGCAATTACGAAACAGGAAAGCCCAAGAGTCCCAGAGGGAGATGAAGCTGTTGTTGGACATGTACCGCTCGGCACCGAAAGAACAGAGAGATAAAGTACAGCTGATGGCAGCGGAGAAGAAGGCGAAGTCAGAGGTACATAACCAAATGTACATGCATACACTATATAGAGCTCAAATTGTTGGAAGCAAAGTGAAATATCAGATTAATCAATGAAAAGATTAAGAGATTAATAGTTTATCAGAGTTTATGTGGATGTTTGTGCAGGCCGAGGAGCTCCGTCAGCGGTTGCGAGAGTTGGAGGAGAGAGAGAGGAGAGAAGGAAAGAAGATGGCCGACGAAGAGGCCCTGAGAAAGATCCGCTCAGTGGAGGAGCAGATCGATATACTCAATAAGAAACTCTCTCTTGCTAAGCAGGTAGGGCTCAGATTTACACAAATATATGAGACTGACATTCAGTAATGAATGACAAACTTTCTTCTGGAAAAGTCTGAATCGGTCTCTCTATCTCTCTATCTCAGGAGGAAGATGCTTTGCTGAGTGAAATGGATGTTACTGGCCAGGCATTCGAAGACATGCAGGAGCAGAACATTCGTCTGATGCAGCAGCTCAGAGAGAAAGATGATGCCAACTTCAAACTCATGAGCGAACGCATCAAATCCAACCAGATCCATAAACTCCTCAAGGAAGAGAAAGAGGAGCTTGCCGACCAGCTGCTCACACTTAAAACACAAGTGGGTGGGCTTTTGAGATGGATTGTTATCATGTTGACTGAATTCTTGAGTGAATTGTTTGGGTTATGCCAGGGGTTCTCAAAGTCAAAAACAGTGGGCCTCCCCTTTTGACACAACGTACATGATGACGCCCCCCACAGCCAAACCTAGTATTCAAGTTAGAAACACTAGTTTTATTAGTTTACTCAAACATATCATTTACTCACCCTTGTGCCCTTCCAAACCTGAAAGACTTTGGTTCATCTGAGATATCTGTCCCTCCAATGACAGTCATCATTCATATGGATTAGTTTTACAATCCCTGTATGAACGTTTTGAAGCCTCAAAGTGGTAGTTGCGTAGATGTCAATGGAGGGAAAGAAATCTCTCAAATATTAAAAAGACCATTATTTGTGTTCCGAAGATGAACAAAAGTCTTACTGGTTTAGAATGACATGAGGTTGAGTAATTAATGACAGAATTTAACATTTTGGGTGAACTAACCCTTTAAGACTAATGCACAGATCCAATTTACACATCACATTTTTCTTTCTTAACGGTTTATGTTCACTTAAGACATAAGCAACTGC